GTTACCATAAGTCAGTAGTGCGTAACAACACTTCAGTTGAAGAAAATGCTAAATTTAAGATAAAAACTACCTGTGAGTTGGCAACACAGTCCCCTGGAATGGCTTCTCCCTGCAACCTGCTTGCTAGCTTGCCACTTGCTCTGGGCCAGAGAACAGCATTAATGAGAAAGACTCAAAGATAGCACTGCATCCTGCCAAGTAATGAAGTGGTAACAATGAAAAAAGGCTGAGGAGCAATAGCAGCTGGTTACAATGGCCATGAGAAAGAGGACCCAATGAAGAAGGCGGCACATTGAATGAATCTTGCCCAAGCACCATCAGAAATGTGGCACAAGATCTGGCTCCAGGGGTCATAATGCAACTCAGCAATCCACAGCTTCATTAAATGCTGCACATATTTTAAAAGCTACCGGTTTAGAGCCAAATGATGTATTTTATCACTGTTTAAACAACCTTAGAAACATACCATAATCACAATTTATTACACTTCTATACTGCTATATTAGGGACTGCAGGTGGCGCAGTGGTTTAAACCGCTGGGCTGGTAGATCGAAAGTTCGCCCGTTTGAATCTGCACAACGGGGTGAGCTCCCGTTGCTCCTTCCCAGCTCCTGCCAACCATGCAGTTCGAAAGCATGCAAATGCAAGTAGATGAAAAGGTACCACTTCGGTGGGCAGGTAACAGCGTTCCGTGCACTTTGGTGTTTAGTCATGCCGGCCACATGACCACGGAGACTGTCTGCGGACAAACGCTGGCTCCCTCGGCTAGGAAACGGAGATGAGCACCGCCCCCTGGAGTCAGGCATGACTGGACTTCATGTCAAGGGGAAACCTTTACCTTTACCTTTACACTGCTATATTACTCTAACAGTACAGAACTTCAGCCAGGGGTTTCAGTCCTGTCTTGTGGGGTTCCTCAGAAGGTTGTACCCTTTTTCTTGGTCCCACCCCTTTCCTGTAACTACCACTTACTCAGCTGCTTCTGGCTCTTGTGCAGGTTTCCCACCATTCTAAAAGGCGGAATTTCTCCCATAGGCTTAGTAGCAGTAAGAGACTGAATGGTTTGTTGTTTTGTTTTTTACCCTATCCACAGTGTAGGCTCATGAGTGGTTTTCCAAAATGGAGTTTGGCCCTTAGGCTGAACGTAGTTCTGCACTAACTTTATACGATCTACAGTGGTTACCTACATACCACCTTTCCCATCATTTTCTGCTGCATGAACCCCGTTTATCAGAGATGTTGCTTCAGAAGCCTCTGCTGAATAGGGCGGAAAGACGCAGGAAAGAAAAATAGGTGATTTGCTGGGAGCAAGACCTTTTTGGTAGTGGCACCAATATCATGGAATGCCCTCCATAGAGAAGCCTGACAGGTTCAGATGTGAGGTTGCTTTAGAGACATGTAGAACTTGACACGGGCTGATTGACGGATCCTGATAAGGGTGTTATATTTGTTGATGTTATGTATATGGTGTTGCATAGATGAAATAGTTGTTATATTTTAACAAATGGATTGTTAGCCAACATGTATTGTGCTTGAATGAGAATGGTGGTATGTACATTTTAAAAAAGCATACATACACCTCCCATTATTTGTATCATATATAACTTCATACTGGTCCTGCTCAAAGGGGTGGGGGGGTGGGGGCGGTGTCAAACAATTCGGTAAACCTACTATTTTCGATCTGCTTCTTCAATATAAATATTAGAAGTGCATCCACAACCATTCATCTTTATTCTCTTTCAACCTGTGAATGCTCATGCCAGATATGTTTTACTTGTTATATGTCATCCTCATAGGGATTCCACTGTATGCTAGAACTAGAACTCTCCATTCTGCAATACATCAGTGACATGAGAGCGAGAGAAGCGGAAAACTTTCTTGATACTGCAATATCTTGCAGCAAAGCACTGCAGCAAGGCCGAGTACAGGTGACACACACAATATGCCTCACCTTGAAGCAACACATCTTTTTAATAATCTCAGAGTAACCTTCATGCTTTAGAAGTGATTTACTGCAGTGTACTGCAGCATTCGGAAACACTGCGTTTGTCACATCAAACCATGCACCTTCAATGCATCTGTTGAAACCCCAGCCATGAATCCATAATGGAAGTTATACCAGTGGTCATTTATAATGTAATCCTGTTGCAATAGACTATGACTAAGTGAAAAAGGCTTCCTTGTTCAAAGTTATCTGTGCCATCTATACATATCTACCCATTGAATTTAATGTCTACTCACTGAGTTTACTGTGGCTTTCCCCCAGCTAAATAACTAGGTATAGGACTGCATTCTAGCATATGCTATCATACTCTTACAAGAGTTCAAAATCCAATGGGAGTTACTTCTGAATACACATGCATAGAATTGCACTGTCAAAGTACAGTCCCACCCACCTACTCTAACTTAAAAGTAACTTCCCATAGGCAACATGAAATGAATTTCTAAATAAACATACATAGGATCAGACTGCAATGCAGTTACCCTATACAGGAAGCAAGCATATACTGAAATCTTAAAAAAATATCAGGAAGCCGAGTTATAAAACAAAATATATTTGATTTCCATCTAGCATTTCAATCCACATGCATTTGGTAATCACGTTTAATATTGTTTCCTTATTTACTTTAATAGTCCATGAGTCCTGTCCTGTAAATATGTATTTAGTTCTGCTTAGAAAAACAAATCCTTCTACTTGTTTTTGTGCCAATCTAATTAAAAATGAAATCAGGGTTACAATTTGATTAATATCACACAACTGGAAGGAGTTAGAAAGTGTTTCCCCAAGTAACTTGCCGTTTAAAGAAGTATTTCCTTGGGTGCTTTGAGTAAAAAAGCAACTTAAATATTTCTGCCCTCCATTTTTTTGCCAGTTTAACTGGTGCAACGAAATATGTAAGTCAGAAAAGAAAGTTATCTGTAAGAAACTCTCAGCAAAGCGTAACTTCACCATAAGTATATTTTATGATGCATGCCTCATGCAGTTTCTACAGTGGTGATGGCTGCTGCAAGTGTATGCAGCAAGTTGCAGTCAAGACCACTATATGATGCCAGGCTAATTTCTGATTTTGCTGCAACAACACAACAGCACCAGAAAATTCCTCTGGAAGTAACAATGTGTAACACAGGCTAAATATTAAAAATACATACCCTCATTAAATATATATATATGTAACACGTAAAAATTCTGTAATATTCTATTTTAGGGTGCCTATGGATTCTTTTTCACCCTAAGAAGGCATTACACACAGCTGAAGTGAAAGGAAACATGCATATTAAACAAACATTCCCTCCCATCATGAACACTTTGACTCCTGAAACCTGTGCTCCACTTTTACTACGTAAAGGCAGACTTACAGCTAAACCTGTCAGCAGACATTATCACAATTACACCGCTTTCGAGAACAGGAATGGTAGGCAATTTCTGATTAGTAAATTAACTAACCCCATTCTTAGACAAATGGTGCAATCTACGGGCAACTGCATGGGAGTAAGTCCCGCTGATCATACTAAGAGCTTCCTTCTGAGCAAAAATACGCAGGGTTGCACTGCAAACAGACTTTGGTATATAGCAATTGGAGGTTTTTCCCTCCAACAGCGCAGCCCTATGCATGTCTACCCAGAAGCAACCCTCCCCCGCGGTTCAACAGGGCTTACTCCAGGTGAGAGTGTGTAGAATTGCTGTCTAAATCCGTTTGCTCTCCAGATGCATTTGACCCTTTTCCAGAAGGAACGCCTGTTCCCCGACACGTGCAAGCATTCTGTGTGTGTGTCTGTGTGTGTTGGGGCAAGATCAGCATGACGCTCCTGTGCCACCAAATCACTGCACGGCACAAGGGCGGGGGGAGCACGACGTGTGGGGAGGGGGCCGGTAGATAGAAGAAAGGTCCACCTGCTCCTCCACCGTGTCTGATTGTCCTCGCTTCCCAGTGCACTGGCGTTGCTTCCTCTTCAGAAGCTGCAAGATCCTCCCTCGATCTGCGAGGCTGCGAACGGCAAGCGGATGACGATGCTGTGCCTGCCTGGCTCTGCCCCTCGCGCCGCCAAGTCTGCGCGTGTGCCCGCGGTGGGTGATGTCTTCCTCTCTGAACCACGCAGCGATCCTCCGTCTTTTCCAAAGCTGCCTCGGTTTACCTCCTGATCTTCTCTTATTTGTCTATTAAAGCAGCCATTTTTCACCCTGCAACAGCAACAGTCAGCTTGTGATGTCACCAACCACCAGAAAGCTAAATCCCCCCCTTCTCCCCTCCTCCGAAGCTAAATCCCCTCACTCATGAACAGTCATCAGCAAGAGTCGCAGCAAACTTTGGGAGTCACCCCTTCTTTTCCCGCCCCTTTCGCAAATCGCTTTCCTGATGGGCAGCAGCGGCATCAGCAGCAGCGACCACCATCTCCTTCGTGTTAGCCACATTATTGCTACGGGGCACTGCTGGGATGCAAGAGCTGGAGGCGCACAGCAGCAGAAATTGCAGCAATACTGTGCCGCCGTGCTGCAGAAACAGCTCCGGTGGGGTGCCCTCTCCCTGTCTCCAGGCAGGACTGCAGCTTAGGTGCTGCTGCTACTGCTGATCCCGCCGATCTGTCCCTCCGCCTCCCTCTCCCTCTCCCTCTCTTATGCGTGCAAACAGAAAAAGAAAAAAGCCAGAGGAAAAAAATTCTGCTCTGGAGCGCTGCTGCTCTTGCCGCCGCCTTCTCGTCTGCTGAGTCATGGATTGAGGGTCCCTCTCTCTCTTCGCGGAAATCACTGACACGTCTCAGAACTGTTTGCCGCGGCCATTAGGAGCCCTCATTCCAGGGCCACAAGGACCACGGAAGGATGATCATGCTCCTCCTCTTCTTCCTCCTCCAGCCGTCTGCATAGGCAAGCTTGCCCTTTACTGCGTTCTTCTCCAAAAGCCCTGTCTGTCCTCTAGGCTCATACTCCGCACCACCCCTTCCTTGCTCCCCTCCCACCCCGGCCCATAAAATAAAAAGCCCCCGCGTCTCACTCACACCCTCTCCCACACGCTTGAACCATGATCGCCGCCGCGTTCTTAGTTTTGCTGAGACCTTACAGCATCCAGTGTGCCCTCTTCTTGCTGCTTCTCCTGCTGGGGACCATCGCCACAATTGTATTCTTCTGCTGCTGGCACCGTAAGCTCCAGAAAGGGAGGCATCCGATCAAATCCGTCTTTTCAGGGCGCTCCAGAAGTCGAGGTAAGAGAGAGAGAGAGAGAGAGAGATGCAGTGCCTGTGCCCCTCTTTGCTAAACGGGGATGGTGGAATTTAGATTCCGAAGGGGGGGGGAGAGGTTAAAAAGGGAATTCCCCCATCGCCTGCCCAAGCTGTAATGGTTTTGTAGAGGACGGGGTTCCTAATAAGAAGCTTTGCCTCTGGATCCCCCCTCCCCAATTATATTTGGGAAAGGGCTTCTAAGAGAAGCAGGGACTGCGGCAGCTTAGTCTCCACCCCATCCCTTAAATGAAATCTTAAGCTGTGGGATGGGACCACCCCCACCAGGTTGCTCAACTACACTAGAACTTTCCCATCAACTTCTAGGAGCAGAATTAAATATACATGTTGGCTGCCAAGGTTAGCTCTGCTTGGATCTTTCAGGGCATTTCAGCAGTGGCTGGGATAGATTATGATGATGACGACTGTAGTGATTTTTCTTAAACCACCCCGCCTTGTACCAAGTTGTTGTGTAGAACTTAAATGACTCTGAAATGGTGAGAGATAACAGTCCTGCCTCCCCCTCCCCCCCAATTCTTTTCCAGATGCTGTAATGAGAACCCATCACTTTCGTTCCGAGGTAATTTATTTAGCACGCAATCTCAAGGTCAGAACAAGTTTTGTTACCACAGTACAAGTCACTTTAAATATATGTTTTTGGTTTTTAAAAAGCCCTTGGCATCTATATTTTGTAAAGATTGTGCATGGAGACCTCATGCTTTTAATACTTTTTACATATTCTAATATGCTTAACTAACATTGCATTCTTGTTAATTATTCCTGTCTTTAAGTGGGTATGAAACTATTCATTTTGCAAGGCAATTAAACAGATGTGGCTATTTAATCATAGCAATACAAAGGCAATAGGATTGCATGCATCCATAATTTAGCTTTTAGTTGCTTTATCATCAGCTATTGACCATATGTTGGCATCCTACAAGCTTCATATGAAAACCCAAGTAAAAGGAGTGTTGGAAGATATTAAGGCACTAACATAGATCTGACTACAGCAGCCTTCCCCAACTTAGACTGCCTGGGAATGAAGGCATTTGTAGTTCAAAACATCCGGAGGGCACCTGGTTGGGAATGACTGGTCTAAGCAAATAAGGAGGGGCATCTTTTGAGAGGGACCACATGCAGAAGGCCATGGTGTCTCCAGAAAGGTCTGAAAAAACACCTGCCTGAAACCCTGGAAAATCTCTGTTGGTCACTGTTGCCATAGGTGGACCTATGGTCTGATTTAGCACAAGGTAGCTTCCTATGTTCTTAATCTTTTTTATTTTGAGCTGTCATCATGCTGTAACTATAACAGGGGCCTCCAAGCTTTCAGTTATCATTCACATCTTAGCAACTTGCCTACCCGCCTCCACTAATAAGGAACAAATAACTTAGTACATTCCACAATTTGCCTCCCTTGTTCACTGGCTATAATGCTTAATATTAAAAGAAAACTCCTTAACTAGCCAGACATTTCTGGCTTCTTGCAACAGATTTAAGTAAACAGAGCACATCTAATCTTCTCACTACCACTCAAGGTTATTTGGTGTTTCTAGCATGTAATTTTTTTTCCAGTAGACTGATTATTTTTGTCTTGCATTTGTAGATTAAGAACAGAACAATTTGCTGGGGATCCTATTCTAGAGGGATATCTTTGTAGAACTGCCCCTTTCTTACATGCTAGTGTTTCAAGGACAATTGATTCCCTATTTAAATAGTAGCTAAGCCCACTGGAAAATTAAAACATCCATCAGTTACTGTTTTCTCTTTGTGTAAAGGGGCTGATATGCATCTGTAAAGTTAAGCTTCAAAGCTAGGCTTGGAGTTTGGATGTAGCTTTTATCTAACATTCCCACTGCAATATTAAGTAGCTACAGATATTATTGGCATGATTTCTGTTTGTCATGTAAGCAGTGTCATTCTTGATTACCCAGATGAGAATGCTAACAAGTTTAGTGGGTTTACTCCTTGATAAATGCACATGGCTGTGTAGCCTTGCAATATGATCTTAAGGATATTTATTCAGAAGTAAAGTCATCTAGCCCTGATTTCATGAAATGTACTATCCTAAAAGTGAGGCTAGTATTAAAAGTTTAGCCAGTTAACATGGAATCATAATTAATTTACTTGGTGAAATTTACTCCTGAGTAAACATGCTGAATTTGCACAATCCTTTCAAAGTTAAGCATTTTAAAATCCCACTGATTTCAGTGGGGGAACTAATGTTACCCTTTGAAATAAGTGGACATAAGAGCATTCTACTTCTTAAATTGGAATGCTTCTATTGATTTCATCAGGATTAGTCATCAATATGTGAGGCAGGGCTATGTATTTCATAAAAAAACTTTCCATATGTAATTTGTTATACATAGGTTTCATATATTAAGGCTGCAATCCTAAGAATGTTCCACAGAGAAAACCTTTATATGATTGAATTGTGTGAACTGTACTACTGGCAATGGGATAATTATTTGACATAGTAAATTAGAATATTAGAAGTGTTTATGATTAAATCAATAATTGTGCTGATTTTGCCTTATCTCAAATTAACTGAGTTGAACACAATTTGTCTCTTCTAAGGGAAGAGTTTATTTAATGTTTCTTTATTATAAAATGTGCATTACATCATTTTTACAAATTACAAATCCTTGAACAGTATTTGGAAAAACCTCTGAATGGAAAAGCATATCAAGAGAAAAATAGTTGTTTATTAATGCTGCCACCTTCTGTATTTTAGAATGAATCAGTAATTTTGAATCCATGGACGTATGAGAAAGGAAATAATATACTGACTTTTAACACTAGTTATTAATATCCTGAAATTTAATTTCAGGTGAGCTAGTTCACATGCGTTTTGCATGTATTCTGTTTCCAAAGAGTTAATGGTCAGCATCACATAATTATTGGTATAAGCTGAATTATGGGTGTTCTGACAATGAAAATCAAATCCCATTCTTTTCAGGAGAAATTATTCCAAGTAAGTGAACAAAGGACCACAGCTCTGAACTTGTAACATCATGAGTCAATAATAGGTTCTCTAAACTGTACCTTTTATGGAATCTGCTAATGTTATGATTATTATGCATTTTAAATATCAACAACCAACTTAAATACATTCAGTCAGATGACTGACAGGTCTGTTATAAATACGTTTGGAAGGATTCTAGAACCTAAATATTCAGAGTAACAAACCACAACAGGACATCTCAAAATATTCACGAATACAATTTCACAGTAGTTTGTGCCACAAAAGATCTGTTTGTTCGTAAAGTGCTATTAGACTCTTGGTTGATTTTGCTGGGATTTATCACATTATGAGATTCTATGTCTCCCCTCACCCAGCAGCATTTGAGAATTTGGCAAGGGGGCATGGAAGTTCACATTTGAGGGATGGATGGGTCCCTTGGCAAGTAGTTACTGAGCCAGGGATTGCTTTTCATAAGGAAGCTGAATCCCCTTGGTAACTTTGGGGATGCTGAGAATCGCAGGGGTGAATATATGGATGCCAATTCTCTTTAATGATCATAATAGAGGAGTAAGTAATTGGAGTTAAAACTAAGGGATAGCAAGTTTCCCTTTAGTTGTCGGTCTCCTGGCAAAATAAAACGAGAAAGTGACATATGTAGTAGCAAATACAATGCCATGTCAACTTTATAGAGCTGGGGTTGAGGTTTTTGCTTCTCCTCATGGCTATTCAAGAAAACTAGTTGCTGATCACAGCCATAAATAAATGAGCCCTGGTCAAGCTGTGGAGTGTCGAAAGGACTGGAGCAGTTGACATTATTGCTTCTAAGCATCCTCTTCATCTATCGCTCATTCGGCTTAATGGCATAACATGTTGAGAACAATGAATCAGCATAGGAGATGGCCTGAGTATGGATGGAGGAAAACTCCCAGTGGATGAAATTGAACCTTGGTGTATGCCTACAGTTGGGTTTATTTAAAGACAGTAAAGAAACAACATCTGACTGCCTCTGTTCAGTCTTGTCTTTGCTGGCCAGTGGGCCATTTTAGGGTTGTCCATGCTGGCCCCAAGGACATCTTAGAACTATTAGAGGCCTGTTATAATTTATTTTCTGGACACTTCCAGGAAAAAATCTCTTGCATCTGCTGAGTCTTAGACTGCAGAGTTAAGAGTTGAATCTGTTGAGATGCCCTCAACACAGCCTGGTCCAGTTTTATTGGATGAATTTCATCTTGAGGATGTTGACAAGGTGGTTGGCCAGATTCATGATCCTTGCCCCTTTTGGCTTAATAAAAGCCAGCAGAGAAGGAACAAGTGGCTGGGCCAGTGAGGTGATTACTGCCTTCTGGCCAGAGGGAGTGGTCCCATTCCTCCTGTGGAATGGGCTTGGCAGTGAGGCCACTCCTGAAGAAATCTTCCCTTGACCCTAAAGACCTTAAAAACATCAAGCTATTAGCAAATACTCATTTCCTGGGCAAGGTTCTTGAATGGGTGGTGGCTGACCAACTTCAGGCACTCTTGGATGAGACTATCTAGATCCATTCCAGTTGGGGTTCAGGCCTTGGTCACCTTGATCCATCAGCTGCGCCCCTACCTGGAGTACGACCTCCTGGCGACAGTGACACACGCGCTGGTGACTTCCCGCCTTGACTTCTGTAACGTGCTCTATGTGGGGCTGCCCTTGAAGACGGTCCGGATACTTCATTTGGTTCAAAATAGAGCTGCCAGGCTGCTGATGGGGACTGGGTGTTATGTTCACATGACTCCAGTTCTCCGTCAGCTTCACTGGCTTCCCATTGAAGTCTGGGCCCAATTCAAGGTGTTGGTGATGACCTATAAAGCCCTAAATGGCTTGGGTCCTGGTTACCTGAAGGAGCGCTTACGTCCATATATGCCCGCCCGCCCCCTGAGATCAGCGGGAGAGGCCCTTCTCCGGGAACCCTCCGTGAAGGAAATTAGGAGGGTGAGTACTCGGAGGAGGGCTTTCTCTGCGGTGGCGCCCAATCTATGGAATGCGCTCCCCAGAGAGGTCCGCCTGGCGCCGTCGTTATTTGCTTTTCGGCGCCAGGCGAAGACCTTTTTATTTAAACGTCATTTTAATTGTTAATATTATTTGCTTATTTTATCTGGCCAGGGCGACTTATTTTATATTGTTAATTTGTTTTATATTTTGAATGTATTATATTTTAATTTAATGTTGTGAGCCGCCCCGAGGCTTTGGCGAATGGGGCGGCATAGAAATGTGTTAAATAAATAAATAAATAATCTTGTATGATGACCGATGCCAGTGGCAGTGTTAGATTCTGTTTATACTCCTGAACCTCTCAGCAGCATTCAGTATCATCAACCTCAGCATCTTTCTGGGGCAACCCTCTGAGTTGGGAATAGGGCATACTGCATTGCACTGGCTCCACTCCTACTTGAAGGGACATCTCCAGAGGTTATAAAATATTGTTTAGCCCCATGAATTCTCCAGCATGAAGTTCCCCAGGGGTCGTTCTGTCCCCCATGCACCGCTGAGTGGGGTCATCCAGAGCTGTGGAGTGCATTGCCATCAATATGCTGGTGACCCATAGCTCTGTTACTTCTTTTCATCATCGGTATGTGAGGCTGCGGATATGCTAAACTGGTGTCTGTTTGCCCTC